TATTCGCTTCAGTACACTTTTTGGCGCGCTTAGGGGAGGGTTGTCGAAGCCTTCCTCTCGTTCTCTCCGCTTCGCCCTTTTGTTTCTCCTGGTCTATACGGATTGTTTGTCTGTATATCTATATATCTCTGTTGCTCTCTTTCTTTCTCTGCCTGTCTGTCTTACTGTTTCTCTCTCTCTCTCTCTCTCTCTCTCTCTCTCTCTCTCTTCTCCTCTCTCTCGTCTCATCATCTCTCCTCTCTCTCTCTCTCTTCACTCCTCTCTCTCGTCTCTATCTCTCGTCTCATCTCTCTCTCTCTCTTCGGTCTCTCTCTCTTCTCTCTCATCTTTCGGTCTCGTCTCTCTCCTCTCCTCTCTCTCTTCTTCTCAGAGCTCTCTCTCTCTCTCCATCTCGCTCGTCTCTCTCTCTCTCTCGGTCATCTATCAAGCTCGTCTTCTTCTCGTCTCTCTCTCTCTCTCATCTCGCTCTCTACTCTCTCTCTCTCTCTTCTCTCTCATCTCTCTCTCCTCTCGTCTCTCTATCTCTCTCTCTCGTCTCTTCTCGCTCTCTCTCTCTCTCTCTCGGTCCTCTCTCTCTCTCTCTTCGGTCTCTCTCTCTCTCTCTCTCTCTCTCTCTCTCTCTCTCTCTCTCTCTCTCTCTCTCTCTCTCTCTCTCTCTCTCTCTCTCTCTCTCTCTTCGGTCTCTCTCTCTCTCTCTCTTTCGGTCTCTCTCTCTGTCTCTGTCTCTCTCTCTCTCTCTCTCTCTCTCTCTCTCTCTCTCTCTCTCTCTCTCTCTCTCTCTCTCTCTCTCTCTCTCTCTCTCTCTCTTTCTTTTTTTCTCTCTCTCTGTCTATCTATCTATCTACCTATCTCCCTATTTATCTATCGCTTTATCTAGAAATCTATTTATCTATCCATCTACCCATCTATCTATGTATTTGCCTCTCTATCTCTTTCTCCAAGAATACCAGAATTAAAAAAACAGAAGAGGCAATGTAATAATCTGTAAAAAAAAAGTGAATATATCAGAAAATAATCTTTAAAAATGAGATTAATAAATTATATAAATCAAAGGGTCCGTGAATAAGTGAATAGATAAATAAGTAAATAAATAAATACAGAATAGATAGATAGATAGGTAGACAGATTGATAGATTGATAAAAGGATAGACAGATATACAGGCTGACAGATAGACAGACAGATAAAAAGATAGACAAATGAATAGATAGGCGGATAGACAGAAAAATAGATAAAGTGATAGATAGACAGGTAGACAGACAAAGAGGTTAGCCAGAACAAACAGAAAAGCGAAATAATGCAGTATTCCAGTATCCCGTCGTCCATTTCAAAATTTCAAAAAATGTCACCGAAACCACGAAACTTATTTTGAGGGATGTCCGGAAGTTTGTTCACGTAAACGAGGCAGGTTGAACCATCTTTGTTCCACCGAATCACAGGGAACACGAGACAAGGACAGATTGGAAAGAACTCGCTCTTCGGGATTGGTCGCCCCCCCCCCTCACATCGACCAATCTCTAAGTGAGGGAGGGGGGTGGAAACATGGGGGAGAAAGAGAGAGAGAGAGAGGGCGAGAGAGAGAGAGAGAGAGGAGGGAAGGGGTAGAGAGAGAGAGAGAGAGTGATAGAAAGATAGAGAGAGAGGAGGGAAGGGGTAGAGAGAGAGAAACAGAATGATAGAAAGAGAGAGAGTGTATGTGAGAAAGAGAGAGGGGGGGGAGAGGCAGACACACAGACATGAGTATTAGCAGTAGAAACAGAAGTAATTATTTTACAAATTTGCATAAACCACACGAAAAGAATATCTTACTTTTTAAAATGAATAAGCGAGTGAAAGTCAGATTGCAGTGTTAACAATTATGACAATTTCCATTTTACATTTTCCTTCATTAATTCTTAGTTGAAAATACGTTGTTTTAATATTACCATTCACTGTGTTGCGTAGAACTTTAGGTGTTATAATTGATAAATTGATATAATACATTCACTATCTACATGGAAATTATTTTACTATAAATATATGGTTATCTAAAATTAGATCTCATTCTCTGTGAATTTACGAAATCAGACATTAATTAACGAGTAAATAATGATGATAACAATCAAGAGGATTTCATTAAGTTAATATATTGTCAGACATTTTTTTTACTATTGATATCACTTTGACAACCTCCCCCCCCCTTTTATATTCCTGTTCCCTCCTTTCGCGAATTCAAATAAAATACCGAATAAATAATGATGAAAATAAACATAGAGATAATGTTTAATGTGTTTATATATTCGCTTAGATACTCATGACAGTCAATAGCATTTTGACAACACCCACCCCCTTTTATATTCCTGCTCCCTCCCTAATAAAATAATGACGAAAATAAACATGGAAATGCATTTTTTTGTGATGTATATATATTATGAAAGATATCTATTGCTATTGATATTATCTTTACAACCTTTTATATTCCTGCTCCCTCCTCTTTACGAATTCAAACTTGAAATACCGAGC